ACATGGATTGAAGTTCTGCCCCCTGCCACTTCCAGCTTTGGGGATGCACTGGGATGCATTGCAAAGTATGCTTGATTTAGAGTAAGAAGACCTGGGTTTGAATTTGGGCAAGTTCCTTAAGTTCCATGGGCCTCAGATTCCTCATCTTTGGAACTAGAAGACTGACCTCTAAGGTCCTTCTAACTCTAAATCTGTGAATTCTCCTCCCCCTATTAAATAAAATGTGTTTATTGTTAGGTTGGGGTAAACTACCAGAAAAAAATACGCCCAACTAATAACGGAAAGAGAAGGGAAGAGAAAAGCAAGTTTAGGAGACGAGGGAAAAGCTAAGCTAACTATTGCTGTGCTTTTTAGATAACTGTTCCCTTACACATTGACTCCCCGTACATTGACATTGCTCAACTGATTCCCACGGGGTCTAAGAATTAGGAAAGGATTCAAGCCATGTCATTTTACAACCCTACCAGTAGTACCTCTAGTCAAAAAGCACTCTTTCTTCCTCCTTACTCTACCTTCCTTTAAAAGTTTGAAAACCAAAATATCACTAAACAACATTTTCAAAAATGTCAGTTTATTAGGGCTCTTTTAACAGGTATCCTGTACCTAGTGCTACTTGATTTTTGCAGAAATATTATTTTAGGTAAAACAATGTTATGAGAGGCAGTTCTACAGGAATAATGTTTGGGACATTTGGCAGAAGGACAGATATTATGGTGCATTTTGGTCAAAATATATTAACAGTCAGTATTTTTCTGTGGGTTATTTCTGTATTACATTCAGATACAAATAGAGATATAACTGCCATGCATCTGATTGCACTAGCTGGCCTGCAGAGTCCCTTCTGTCTCTAAATCTTGTGACCACTTCTATGCAGTATATATGTATCCTTATCCCCTAGATAAGTGCCTAGCTCATATAGACTCTTAAATAAGTTCTTGTTTATTGATTCTAGCCATAGGGTTTCCTGTTAGTGAAGTTTCATGACACTGTAGTAAATGACATGTTCTTCCATTGCCAGCACATAGTTAAGGCTTTCCTTACTTGGTACTTACATTAACCTCTTGACTAGTTTTCCCACGTAGAATCCCTCTTTCTCTTAATCTATCTGTATACCACTGCTGAATTAGTCTAATTACCCCGCTCCGAAACCCTTTGAATTAAATTCATTGCCGCCCACAGTCTGGCCTCCAGCCTACTTTAATTTTATTTCATCCTGCACAACTGTAGATATCCTACACTTCAAATTTTGTTCCCTAGATATGCTTGGAGAATGCCCACATACCTTTCTAAATTCCACTCTTTTTCCTTTAAAAGTCTGTCTAAAATTAGACTTCGATGAAATCTTTTGCCTCTCTTACAGCCATAGTATTTTATTTGTATTTTTAAAGGTACTGGCCACATTTTCTTTTATTTTATAGTTACTTGCATACTCCTTATCTATCCCTACACTATTTGAAAGGTTTTTTTTTAAACTCTTGAAGGCAGGTATTTTTTAGACATTTCTGCAAACCTTGTCTAGCCGAGTACGTTTTGTTAAGTTGCAGCCAACTTGGTTGAAATGCAGTTCTGTTAATATGGCTTGTATATAATTGGAAGTTTTTCCCCTGTTCTGTGTTTTATTTTGACTTTTCTATATATTAGAGTTAAAATATTGTTAAATTTTAAATAAAAATCTGGTTTTTAGATGAATGTTAATTTTTCTCCACCTTTGGTGAAGCACACCATTTAATGTAGACATTAGATACAAAACACAGATGGGAGGGGCGGGCAGAACATAAACTGATCACTAAATATATCTAGTCAGTCTTGATTCTGACTCTGCTATGTCTCCTCTCATCTTGAAGTTTTTCCATAGTAGTTCCAGTGAACAGGACAGGTTGCCCGAAATTGGGCAAGAGGCATATATCCTTAAGGGAAATGGCAATTTGCTATATAAGATTCTATTTAATTGCTAAATTATGAAGAGTGTTTGTTCTCCCTATTCAGGGATACATTTGAACATTGAGAGAGGTTTTTTTTTTTTTGGTAGGAACCTTAAACAGCTTATTCATTATAATTATATTACTTTAGAACAGGAGTTTTTAGTCTGAGGTTTGTGAGCTTTTTAAAAAATGTTATATTTCAAAGTAATTGGTTTTCTTTGTAATCCTAAGTATTTCCTTTTATTTAAAAACGTAAAGTAAAAAAAGTATTCTTTGATCTGCATTCAGACTCCATCAGTTTTTTCTCTGGAAGTAGATAGCATTTTTCATGGTAAGTCCTTCAGAATTGTTTTAGATCATTGTATTGCTGAGAATAGCTAAATCATTCACAATTGACAATTGTACGAAATGGCTTGTTACCATGTACACTGTTCTGGTTCTGCTCACTTTACTTTGCATCAGTTCATGTAAGGTTTTCCAGGTTTTTCTGAAAGCATCCTAAATAGTTATAATTAATAATCACTATGTAAAATATTTGATAGCATTTGACTGCAAGTCACGAAACATGGGTTCTCATCTTAGCTTTGCCACCAGTTAGCTGTGTGACCTAAGGCAAGTCATCTAGCAATTTTATGTCTGCTCATCTTTCATAGGAAAGAATAAGACTAAAATATTCTGAGGTTCCTTCCAAGCCTAAAATTTTATATTCTTTATAATCAGCACTTACCCATTGAGGAATGCTGAAAAGAGTAGGAGTAAAAGATGTCATCAAGGAATTGTGTGATAGGAAGAGAGAGATTAGTTGGTCATGTGATGGGCATTAAGGATAACAGATGGATTCACTGTTACCATTGATGGAAAGAGAAAGTAATGATTTAAAGAAAGAAAGTCTCTGCAAATGGACCATACTGGTGAACAATGGGAGGGCATGGACAAGAATAACACTGCATTGCAGACAGCAGTGGGTTGTGATCTGCTTTGTTGGTGAGAGCTTCCAAATTGATAAGAACACAGAACCATTTGAGAATGACATGTATGTTTTAACAAGGGGCTCTATTCATCTAGCCCACTTTTGCTTTCCTTGATTCTGCAGTTAAGTTGTGATGCTGAATTTATTCCTATGGTAACAGATTGATGTCAGTTAGTGGATGTGAGTAACCTGCAGAGTTAGTCAGGAGGAAAATCCAGGTTGGTTAAGGAATAGATATCTTCCTGAAATACAAATACTTAATAATCAAGGTGCCATCAGTCTAATAATAGGAAGTTCTTTGCATCTGTGAACTTTTTTCTTGCTTTTTAAAAATAATTTACTATTGTATTTTTCCTCAATTACATGTAAAAACAAATTTTAGCAGTCATCTTTAAAATTCTGAGTTCCAATTCTCTTCCTCCCACCCCCCCTTCCTTTGAAAAGGCAAGCAGTCTGCTATAGGTTATACATGTGCAGTCATGTAAAACATATTTCCATATTAGTCATATTGCTGAAGAAAACATAGACACCCCCCCTCCCCCAAAAACTCAAGAAAAATAAAGTTAAAAAGTATGCTTTGATTTGTATTCAGACACCATTACTTCTTTCTCTGGGGATGAATAACATTTTTCATCTTAAGTCCTTCGGAGTTGTTTTGGATCATTGTAGTGCTGCGAATAGTTAAGTCATTCACAGCTGGTCATCTTATAGTATTGTTGTTACTGTGTACAGTGTTCTCCTGGTTTTTCATTTTGCATCAGTTCATGTAAGTCTTACCAGGTTTTTTTGAGAGCATCCTGCTCATCGTTTTTTATGGCACTATAGTTTCCATCAGTCATATACCACAAGTTGTTCATCCATTTCTTCTGTGAACTCTTACTTGTTTAAGAACTACATTGAAATTTCTTCCTTTGAAACAGAATTACTTCCAGGGAGAAATTTGAATGGAAAAGAGGGAGGTGTAATTTGACTTACTCAGATGTATCACCTATTTTTTGGTGATAGCTAATCAGCTGTCTATAGAAAGATTGCTAGTTACAAATTTATACTTGTGAGATTAAACATCCTTTGCCTACCTTATTTTCCCGTATGTGAATTGAAGTCAAAAACTCTGTTTCTGTTTTCTGTGACTCAAAGCCCTGCTCATTGTTTTTTCTCCATACTCTAGTACCTGTTTGCTAATTCCTGCAAAGGCACAAACTCATCAGTAATTCTATTTCTGGACTTCTATAATATAAGGATCTTGAATAGTTTCTGTATCTAAAGTGGCTAATAAGTAACTCCTTAAGGAAGCCATGATAAAGATCCTTCCTATTCATTGACCTTCTTGGTAAAATTTGTTTTTACCTTCCTTGAAGGAGGGTACTGACATGATTTGATAGTTCAAATATGATTACTTTAGCCTCCTTTGCAAATTTATAATTTGTTAAGTGGTTCCTTTGTTTAGATGCCTTGGACTCTACTGTAAAGTAGAACAGTATTGTGGGGGAAATCCTAACTACATAGGCATTATTGCCTTTGTGGAATTAGTTTCAGGGAAATTGTCAAATGGATAGGAAAAAAGGCCAAGAAAAGTAGGGTCTTTGGTATGAATGAAGCTGTAGAAAGTAGGAACTGCCTGTAATTTTATTTAGCATTTGAGAGCTCCCACTTGCGTGGGAGTTCTGCTGAAAATATTATTCCTAAACCACTAAATGGAATGAATAAATGAGTATTCTACCAGAAAATATTATTGTCAGTAAAGAAAAAAGTGCAACTTTTAGAAAATAACTTTAAATATATTGTGTGTGTGTGTTTTGTTTTGTTTTTAGGCAGTTGGGGTTAAAGTGACTTACCGGGGGTCACACAGCTACTAAGTGTCAAGTGTTTGGTCTGAGGCTGGATTTAAATTCAGGTCCTCCTGATTTCAGGGCCGCCACTCTATCCACTGTTCCACTTAGCTGCCCCCCCCCCCGTGTGTTGTTTTTTTTCCCTCTCCCCTAGCAATAAAAAGTATTTTCTTGTATAGGTCTTAGATTTTTCTGACTGTTGCCTTTTTCTCATGTAATAAGGGAGCTTTCTTTACTCAGATGTGTCTGAAATGCTTTATTCTGATTTTTTTTTTACAGATTTTCTATTTTGTACATACGTTGTTTTGTATATACTGTATATGATGACTTCAGTGGGCAGTGAACGTTCCCGGGGCACTCGGGATAAAACTCAGATTTCAACCACGCAGATGACACAGCCACAGAAACAAATAGTACAGGTAAGTTTTATTCGTCTTTAGTGGAGTAAAGTGATTTAATCATAAATATATAGCTACCTTTCCTTATTAGGGAAACATTTTTTTGGGCGGGGGCAGGGCGGGGATTCAGTAGAAAGATTCAGCAGAGCTTTGAAACACATTGAGACCCCCTGCCAGGAGAAATTTGCATTCCTAGGCATACTTCTTGATATCTTGTGGCTTCTCTCTGCTGTTTTTGTATCACTTGGCTGTAGACTCAGGGACAATAAACTGTTACTTTCAGACTAAGCAAAACTTAGGGAGATGAATTTGATACACAGTTGTGAAGGGTACATTAAAGCCATTAATTTGGACCAGCTGAGGAAATAGCTTTGATTAGTTTTATTCTAAGGTGATCAAAATTTGTTAATTTCAAATGCAATAGTACCATAACAAGTAATAATGTTTTCTAGCCTAGGCTTGTTTTATTCAGATGAATTGTGATTAGCAGCAAATGTTAAATCTACTAAAGTCATCTGTTGATCATCTTAAATCAATTAAGTAAGCTCCCCAAAATTTTATGTATATTGTTATTTTGCTTGACAAATCCTTGTAAACAGTATACAGGTAGCTAATTTGGAACAGGTGAGGCTAGATTGGTATTTGAATTAATGGAATCTATAGTAGTAAAATTGTATTCACATGCCAAATATATGTGACTCTTTTAGGGACAGCCTTGCGGCTCTGTGGATAGAGTAATGGGTCTTGAGTCAGGAAAACTCATGTTCTTGAGTGCAAATGTGACCTTAGACACTCACTAGCTGTGTGACCCTGGCCAAGTCACTTAATACTGTTTGTCTCAGTTTCTCATCTGTAAAATGAACTGGAGAAGGAAATGGCTAACTACTCTAGAGTCTCTGCCAGGAAAACCCCAAATGAGATTACCAAGAGTCAAGACAAGACTGAAGTGACTGATCTAGTACCCCTTTTATTGAAGGTGATAAAAAGGTGCTTTATTTTGCATTGTTAATGAACAGTGATGTTTGTGCACCTTCAGAGTGCTTCAGCTATATTATAAAAGATCATGGTGTATTGGCAAGAAGTTATGGGTTCTAATCTTGGTTCTGCCATTTCTTTATCTTTGCAATCTCAGGTAAATCATTTTACTTCAATGGGCTGCAGTCTTCTGTGTAAAATAAGGAGATTGTACTAGTGACCTCTAAAATCTTTAAACTATAAACCTGTGATTCTGTGGTTCTATAAAAGGGATCCATAAGACTGACCTTTTTTTCTTTAAAAAAATATTTTGACTAATGCCTTTTGTTTTTTACATCGTTCATTTTGAACGTCTCATGTTTTATTGGACCTTACCTTGTGACAAAGAAAAACAGTTAAGTTAAAACATACAATATAATAACTCATCTGATAGTATCTATTATATAATATTCTCTTTTATAAGTTCTTGGCCTCTTTTCTTTCTGTTCTCTCTTGGTTTATTTGGTGTTTGATTTCCTTTTAGTGATATTTGCGTTTATATTGTGTTTATTGTGTAAATATGCTCTTAGTTTTGCTTATTTTATTCTATTTGTATAAATGTTTCCATGTTTCTCTGAATGTCATTTCTTACTGCACCGTGATATTCCATTAATATACCAGTTTTCAAATTATCAACTTAACACTAAAAATGTTTTAATGTAGAAAGAGCAGAAATATTATTTTATATGAAGCTGTAAAATATTAACATGTACATTAGATTTGAGATGGTAGTAATTACAGTAGCTAGCATTTTATATATAACCCTTTAAGGTTTGCAGAGGGCTTTATTTATGTTCATTCATTTGATATTCACAACAGCCCTGTGAAGTAGTACCCATTTTACAAATGAGTAAATTGAGGCACAGTTAAAGGAATTGCCCAGGGTCACATAACCTGGTAAATGTTTGAAGCAGGATTCAGTCTCAGGGCTTTCTGGCTGCAAGGCTTGTGCTATCTGCTGTGCCACTTACATACCCTAGAAAACCTGTTAAGAAACCTACACTGCTTGCCTGTTCCCTTTTAAACTTTTCTTCTGCTGTTCTTTATATTTTAAAATATTACATTGAAACCTCTTTTCCTTTTTTTTATCTCTGTGAGCCAAGTGCTTTCATTCTCACAACTCCCCTTCACCCCCCATGCCCGTTCCTATCTTCTCCATATGCCCAAATAAAAGCCCTCTCTTGTAACAGACAAGTATAGTCAAGCAAACCAAATTTGCCTTGTCTGAAAATGGACATCATCTTCTGCCCCCCCAGTTGTCACCTGTCTTCTAAGAGGTTGGAAGCATTCTTCAACATCAGAATTCTGAATCCTTTCGAAGCTATTTTTCTTTTTTGTTGTAGTTAATAGTATAAATTGTTCTTTTGTATTCTACAGTTTTTTCAGGTGTTCCCAAATAATGAACACCCAGTTAATTTTCAATTCTTTATTGCCTCAAAGAATCCTGTTGTAAATATTTTATTACATATTGGGGCTTTGTTTTTGCATTTGACTTCCTTGTGGTGTATGCCCAGTTGTGGAATTACTGAGCCATATGGATATGGACAGTTCCAGTAATTTTTCTTGTATGATTCCAAGTTGGCATCCAGAATGGTTTAATCACTTCATAGCTCCATCAGTAGTTCTTACCTTTAACAATCCCTTCAGCACCGTTTTTATCTTTCATCTTTGTGAAATATACCGGTGTGTTGATCTAATGTGCGTTTCTTTTACTATTTGTGGTTTAGAATAGGAGTGTGAAACTCAGTAGAAATGGGGCTCACTATAATACCAAATAAGGATCCCTGTAGCTACATATTGACTTAGTTTTAAAATGTAATATTATTTATGTTTTATGGTATTATTTATTTTGTTAAACATTTTCCAATTAAAATTTAGGGTTTTTTTGTGCTGCTTTCAAATACACTATAGGCAGAGGTACCTCTGATTTAGATTATTTTTGATGTGGTCATTTATAGTTTGCCATTCTTTTGAAAATATTTGGTATCTTGTGATTGCTTATGTATTGGGGTATGGCTCTTGGTGGTATGTAGGTGGTGGTGGGGGGTATATTTGTGTCAGTTCCCAGTATATTTTGGATATCAGACTTCTGTCACAAGGTGTGGTGCAACTTTTTTCTTTTATACTGTTTCTCCTGTCCATATCAATTAAATTATACAAAACCTTTATCTCTTGTTTAGTTAATTATGACTAATCTTTTGACCACTATTTGTTCTTCTTTTGGGACTTAATTTTTTTGATTGATGCTTTTTTAAAAATCCCCTTCATTTTGAGGAATTTTATTGTAGCATGTTGGCAGCTGCTCTCTTTTATCCCTTACCCCTCCAAAGAAGAAAAAATTCATAACAAAACAAATCCTCCTATTTAGTATCACCTTTGTTGGAACACTAATACATTCATAATGCTCAGTTATCCTGGAGTGTCAAGTTATAGAAACATAACCAAGAAGATGTTATCAGAGAAGTAACTTATGGTTTGGGTCTCGATCTGGAGACATTAAAAATGGTTTTGGGGCAAGTGGCATGTTTCTCTCTTTTTTCGGGGGGGAATGGGGTTAAGTGACTTGCCCAGGGTCACACAGCGAGTAGGTGTTATGTATCTGAGGCTGGATTTGAACTTAGGTGCTCCTGAATCCAGGGCTGGTGCTCTATCCACTGCACCACCTAGCTGCCCCCTTGTTTCTCTTTTTTTAACCATTACAGCCTATGTGAGTTATGGAGGACAGAATAAAGTACTGTAACAGTACTTTAAATAACAGTAGAATGAGCTAGTGAAACATTCATCTGAGTGTGTTGTCTGACAGTTACTAATAGTGGTAAATGTTAAAAATGAAGAGTAGTTTTAGAAATTCTCTTCAGTGAGTATAAATGACTGATGACAACTGCTTTTCCTCCTTTCTAGAATGAGACAGTTTATTCATCTCTTAGGTACTTTTCATAAAAATATTTTTTGGTTCTAGAATAGAAGACATTTGCCTGCCTTCTCTTAGGTTAATATCTTTTATTCTGGTGGTATTTTCCTTGTAGTTGTGATGATAATTATAAAATTAATTCAGACTGTGCATTGGAAAGACAAATACTGAAGCCGAAGCTCAAACACTTTGGCCACGTTAATGAGAAAACACAGGACTCATTGGTAAAAACCCTGATGTTGGTAAAGAATGAAGGTAAAAGGAAAAGGGGACAGCAGAGGATGAGATGGATAGTGTCATGGAAGCAACAAACATGAGGTTGGACAGACTATGGGAGATAGAGGTGGATTGCAGGGCCTGGTGTGCTAATGGTCCATGAGGTCATGAAGAGTTGGATGTGACTGAATGACAGAGCAACATCGTAATTATAAAACTATTGTATTCCACCTCAAACCCTTATTTGCTATGTGACCCTTAACCTCTGCCTGCTTTAGTTTCCTCAGCTGTAAAATAGGGATAATTATAGCAACTACTTCCAAGAGTTGTAATGATCATGAGGCCATAATATTTATAACGTGCTTAGTTAGCACAGTGCCTGGCACATGACAGGCACTTAATAAAAGCTTGTTTCCTTACTTAAAAAACAAAAACAAAACAAACAAAAAACCAGAACAGCAAAACTTCCTTATCAGTGTTTGGTAGTGTTATATCAGCATATCTGACGAATTTAAACAATCTAGCTAGCATTAACCGTCACTTAAAAATCTAAATAGAGCTAGTTTCTGGGAACCTAGTTGAAAGGCTCTTCTTCCTCTAATGAGGTGACTTTGGGCAAGTTATTTAATCTCTCTGGGGCCTTGGGTTCCTCACCTATAAAATTAAGTCATTTTGACTAGATAATATTTAAGGTCTCTTTTTTTATGTGACTCTTGAAATGTAGGTATTTAGAATATGTTTGACCCAAAACTGAAAGAGCTATACTATGAATAACTCAGTATGAACATGGTTTCATCACTAAAGAATATGTGAGTAGGTAAAACAGTTAACATATCAAAATAAAAGAGAAGGAAGCCTCAGGAAATCCTGTACCATTTAT